TGTTGCAGTAGGGCTGTATTGCTTTACTTTTGAGAGGTAGAGTTCATTCTCTGATCATAAAATATTCAGAGCATTCTCTAGATAAGCTGACCATACTCCTTGAAATGATTCTGATTTTTAGTATACTGTCCTTGTTTATATAAATTAATATGCAACCCAGAAAAAATATTACTGGTTCCTGAGGTGTGCATATCATAAACTTTTCTGGATATTGCCAAATTACTTTCCAAAGTAGAGATGAACTAGAGGTCCTAGTGTTCCCCATCCCTGCCAATACTCTAGCACTGTTAGACTTTTTAATTGCAACCAGTTGATCAAATGGTATCCAGTTGTGGTTCATTCAACAGACATTTAAATGCTCACTGTGTCCTGATAGTGTTTTAGAGGCTGGGCATATGGTAGGAACAGAACAAATATAAACACCTGTCTTATGGAGTTGACATTCTAGAAGGTGGAGACAATAAAGAAAAGGAAAGTATATAAAATGTTAAATGGTGATCATTGCTTAGGATAGAAATAAAGTGGGGAAGGGCTGTTACAGTTTTAGAAAGAGTGGCCAGGGAAGATCTTAGTGAGTTGGCATTTGACTAGAGACCTGAGGAAGGTGAGAGAACAAGCATTGATGATATCTGCGGGAAAAGTGTTCCAGGCAAAGGGAACAGCAAACTCAAAGGCTTTGAGATAGGAGAATAGAGTATAGCAAGGAAGGCCAGTGTGGCAGAAGCGAAGTGAGCAAGTAGGCGATGAGGTCAGAAAGGCATTATGTGGGCAGATCACATAGAGCTTGTAGACCATTGTAAAGATGTTGGCTTCTACTCTGAGTGAGATGAGAAACCACTGGAGTGTTTGAAGAGAAGAATGATATAGCTAACCGCTGTGTTAACAATCACTCTGCTCTGTTGGAGTGAACTGAAGGTGGGGAGCGGGCAGACTAGTTAGGAGGCTGCTGTCATAACCACGGCGAGCCCTGGTGGTGGCTGGGGCCCGGGGAGAGCAGTGGAGCTGGTGAAACACGGTCCAGTTCTGGATCTATGTTGAAGGAGGAGCAGGGAGGACTCGTGAATGTGGGGTATGAGATAAAAAGATTTATGAGGATGATGCCAGGTTTTTGGTCTGAACAGCCAGAAGAAGGGAGTTGCCATTAACTGAGATGGGTAAAATGTAGAAGGTTTTTAGTGTTACATGTGTTAAAATTGAGATGAATTCCTATAAGAAATAGATAGCACACTCAATATAATTAGAAGGAAGTTTTCACAAAGGAACCATTCACAAAGGTGTCAGTAGAGACCTTTGTGAGAAAGCACAGAGAGAGTACAGTGTTGAGAGGGCAGGTAACAGCAGAGATGTTACCACCCGTGGTTACTGGAATTTTGAAGGAGAGTCATATCGAGTTTACTTTGAGAGGATGAATCACCTCTGGCAAAGGGACCCAGCCAGTGAAGGTGACCTCACATGGAGAGAGTCAGAGGAATAAATGCTCTGGCCTTACACTCTTTTTCTCTTCAAGTCTCCTGCCAGGGCTTCTGTGAGCAAAACCTTCTGGGAGCCAGGAGACAAGGGAAGCCTGTTGCTGTAGTCCATATCGGTCAACCTTCTAGAGCAGAACAGGAAGGAGAAGGGAGGAGCGTAAATCTGAAGTGGCAAATGTGAGTGAGAGACCCAGCGCAGCATCCCGTGGGAGATACCAAGCAGGCTGTTGGATAAAGGCATCTGGGGTTCAGGATCGAGGTCTGGGCTGCAGATATGCAGGTGGGTGACGCCAGCCTATAGATGGTATTTAAAGTCATGAGAATATATGGCATGACCAAGGGAGTTATTACCTAGAAAAGCACTGAGCTCTGGGCACCACAGTGTCTAGAGGTTAGGGAACTGAGAAAAAACGAACAAAGGAGACTGAGCATGAATGGTAGAAGGAAAACCAGGAAAGTATGGTGTTTTCAAGTGTTTTGAGGAAGAAGGCAGGATCTGTGTCAAATGCAGCTGATGACAGTCAAGAATTGACTATCGATCTTCCAAGTGCAGTTTTGTTGCAATGGTGGGATAAATTTTTGCGTGAATTTAAAAAGAATATGGGAGAAGAGACATTTGAGACAGTAAGTATAAACAAGTCTTAACTTTAAGGAGTTTTGTTATAAAGGAAAGGAGAATAATGGGTTGGTGGGGGAAGTGAGTCCAGACATTTTTAAAGATGGGAGAGGTAAAAAAAAAATTAAAAAAAAAAATGGGAGAAATAACTACTTGTTGATAGAAAGATCCAGGAAGGAGGGCAAAAATCACCTGAGGAGGGATGAGAATTGCTGGATCTGTGTTCTTTAGAAGATATGAAGTGGTAGGATCTAATGCACAGGTGGAGGGATTGCCCACTGCTGGGGCCTGGGCAGTGTTTCGAGTGTAATGGGAAGAAATGCAGAATATATGGCATAAATATAGGTAGGTGGGTAGATGTGATGGGGGCTTGAGGAAGTTCTCTTCTAATTGCTTCTGTTTTCTTTCTTTCTTTTTTTTTTT